CTTTTCGAAGATTTCTTTTGAATTAGCAGAGTATTGCAGGAGATTTTGATAATATTTTGAATTCTTTTTTATAGTATTTGATTGAATTTACCAAAAAATTTGGTGAATTCAATCAAAAATTTTTTGGACCATTTTAAATTTTGATATTTTTCTGATCTTTTGGGGCTTTTAAAACATTTAGAAATTGCTTCAAACTATCTCTGATTTTTTTTTGCCCACCCTTCCAAATTTTTTGTAATTTTTAAATCTAATCATTGAGTTCTCGTTTTTGGACTGAACTAAAATTTGTTTTTTTTTTTTTGTTGAATTTTAAAATTTGATTACTGCGAATCATCAAAATTAGCGGATTGAATCTTTTTAGTTTGATCTTTGATTTTTTTTTTGACTTTTTGATTTTTTTTTGTTTCATTTTCATATCTTGAATCTTGTTTTTTCGACTTTTTTATTTTTGATTTTTGAAAAAAAAAAATGCATGCTTTTTTTAAAGCTTACACTAATTACACGTCTGTTAATGCAAATTCTTCCCTTAAATTAATTTTATTTTTTCAAAATTGTTTTTGAAATCACTTTTGATACTTTTAATTATTGCATGTTTATTTGTTAGCACTCCTTGCCTCACCAACAGTAACTTATGCTTTTATGCGTTAATGTATGTTTTTGGTTAATTCCATTTTTTCATTTTGTACTTTTACTGATTGCATGCCTTTTTGTTTATTTCGCTTAGTTTTGATATTGAATAATATTTTATATCACTTACAGTTGAAACTATTTTCCGTTTCATTTGTTTTTCTGTATGCAATTTTGGTTAGTTATAACTTATTGCATGCTTTTTCTGTTAACTTTAACTTATTGTTATTATTCGCTGATATTTTTTTGATATGTAACAATATGATATGTAATTTTTTTTAAATATTTTTCGTCACTTTTGTTTATTTGCATGCATTTTTGACTTACTTTTCGTATGATATATTTTTTTTTTTGTTCATTTACTTTTTTATTTGGCAATATTTTATATTATTTTTGTATTGAGCAATTTTTTTCCATAATATTAAATGCATGCTTTTTATTGATTGTTGATGCATGTTGTTTTGTTGTTTCACTAGTTGTATTACATTTTTTTTTAAAATATCATTTGTATTAATTTATATTATTTACATCAATCTTTCTCTTGTTTACCTATTTTTATTATTTCTTCTTTGTTTTTACATGTATTTTTCGCACGATTTTTTGTTTAGTTCACTTTTGGGCCATATTTTATACCATTTATAGTCTGAATCATTTCCCATTGCTTTTATTTCTGCATGCATTTTTTGGTTATTTTTAACTTACTGCATGCTTTTTTTGTTAGTTTAATTTATTGTTATTATTGGGCAATATTTTTTATTGCTTACAGTTTCGAATATTTTTTCTTGCTTTTCTTTCTTACATGTATTTTCGGTTACTTCTATTAAGTGCATGTTTTTATTATTTATTGATGCATGTTGTTTTGTTGTTTTACTAATTGCATGCATTATTATTATTTCTTTTTTTTTTTTTGGAAAGTCTCACTGTTTTCTTGGATGAAAATTTATATTATTTGTATTATTTATATTAAATTATATATTTATATTATTTTTTCCTTATTTATTTTCATTATTTCTTGATTTTGCTTTTGCATGTGTTTTTGATTTAATTTTTGCATGGTTTTTCTGTTTAGTTCACTCTTCTGCATGCATTTTTTGGTTACTTACAACTTACTGCATGCTCTTTTACTAATTTCACTGCATGCTTCTTGTTGAGATTATTTAATTTATTTAACTTTTACTAATTTCATTCACTGCATGCTTCTTTTGAGATTATTTAATTTATGTAATCTCATTGTAATTTGTATTGAATTCACAAAAGTGTTCTTCGTTTACACACTGCATGCCATTTTGTTATTCTCATTTATGGAATAGTTGTATTGATTGCTTGCACTACCTTGCATGCAGTTTGTTTTCACTTCTGCATGCTTCTTGCTTATTTTTCCGTTTTTTTGTAATTTTTGTTTTTTATTTGTTGATGTTATTTAATTTGCAGGCCAAAATTTACGAATAAAATACGAAAGGTAAACAGTTCTAACCATTCCGTACATGACTTTTTTTATAACTGTTTAAGTTAAAATTTATTTGACTACAAATATAACTAAGATTTAAAGAACTTTTAGATTTAAATGTGAGCTGTTTTTAAATTTCCTAGTCTTTTTATTTAATTTCTTTACATTTAATTTAGGAAAATTTCTTATTATTTCATTTTATCATTCACTTGCTTCATTATTCTTATCTCTTCAAAAACTTCCTATGAATATTTCTTTGCTAATCAACATATTTGAAGAGCTGGTCGAACTAATTCTGCAAAATGAAAAAACCCTGGACAATTTTATTCAAAGTCCAGTATGCTTGTAACTTTGAATCATCGTGATGAACTGGCAAACTGAAAAGACTGAATTTCCGCATGATTGCGCTCAAAAGGTATTCATTTCTTTGGTGACATGATAACAACATAAGAAAATTTTGTTTGTGAATTCACATTTTTTAAAAAAGCGAAATTTAAGACTATTTTGATTACTGATATATATGAGATTTTGATGAATACTGATGGAATCTATCACGTTATCGGTCTTAAATTCAAATAAGCAGAATTATTTTTAACTGGTTGAAAGTGTTTATTTGTACATAGCGCAGTTGAATTTGATGGTTAGCTTATTCCAAAAACATGCACGAAAATGCTAATAAATAGTTTTTCAGATATTTGGAGAAGATACATCCATGAAACTAACATTTCTATAAAGTTTGTTTACTTAACATTATATGAAGGTTCTAATTTCCCTAATAAGCAAATTTTAGCAACACAACAAACAATGCTATCTACCGATACATTACATGAATCTAGTAAATCAATTCAAAACCCATAGTTTGAATAGTGTTTGTTAAATTTTTTTTTTCCGAATTTTTAATTAAAATTTTTTTTTAATCATTTTAATTATATCATTACTAACATTTATCTTCTCTTCTGATCATTTTCTCTCATCGATTATTTGATATGTGGAGCATATATTTTTGGACTAGATTTAAATTAATTCTAAACTAATTCTTATTTTCTACAAGTTATCCTTCGAGAATTTCGAGTGCTTGTTATTTTTCGTAGTTATACAACTGGATTGATTCTGAAATTTCAATGAAAAAAGGTATATTTTACTCACATCTTTTTTTTTTTTTTTTTGAATCTCTCTTATGCATGCAAATTTAATGAAATGCTCGTTCTAAGTATTCCAAATTAGTTGTCCTTTTTTTTTTTTTTTCCAAATTTGAATACATGACGTGTCCTTATTCTTACATCTGAGTTTACTTCTTTCCTTTTTTTTTTGATTTGAATACTTAGTTTCAAGTTTGAGTAGTCAATGTTATTGTGTTACTAATAAAGAAAGGCTAATGTGACGCTTTTAAAAGTTGTTTCTTCTAAAATATTTCAAATTTTTGCACTTTAATAATGTGTCTTTCATAAATTTTTTTTTTTATCTTATGGTTGTGACAGGTGCTAACCGATGGAAAATTCAAATTATTCATTATTGAACCATTTAATCGAACATATGACAATAATTTCTCGTATAAAAATCTATAAATATTATGTTTTCATAGTGTTTTTCGTAATTTTTGTTCATAAAAAATCATTTCAATTAATTTAATGTTTTTTAAATAGCGTAATATTGTTGTTGTTGTTGTTTTTTTTTTCAGCTTTAAACAAAGCTTTTGTATCTGATGTAGTACGTTGGTTACGTACCAATCGATTGATTTTTATTGGAATGAAATGATAATCGATATTCAACTATATCTCTTTTCTTAGAATTATTTGGAAGTTATTCTAACAACTGGTTAGATTTTTTGCTTTTGCAAAATGAATCACATTATCAGCTCAACGGCTGATAATGTAATTCATTTTCTGATAATATACATTATGCAGCGATCTATTTAAGAATTTTTTTAATCATAATACATTGTGATAACTGAATAATAATACTACAGCAGTTAATCTTTAGCTTGGCTATTATTAATTCTATTCTAATAATTCTAAGCTTGACCATTAATCTATTACTTCTAATAATTCTAAGCATTATTAATTCTATTAATTCTGGCAATTCCAAACTCCTAGACTCCAGTGATAGCCAAGCCATACCCTGTCCCTATAACATTCCCAAATCAAAATTACAATGCATATATGCAAAAGTTAATTGAGAAAAAAGTATAGAAAAATAGGAGTGCGAAGACAGTTAGAGAGGTAAGTAAAATGCATGAAGCAAGAAAACGATGTAGCGAAGAGCAGGTCCTGGAATCTTGCGTATCTGAGTTTATTTATTATCTGCTGAATCTTCCGTTTATGTTTCTCTTTTTTTTTTTTTACTCTGAGCATCATTTTTAGTATTACTTTTCACTAGTCCTTTCATGTATATTTCACTTTTTATTAAATCGCTCTATCAATTGATTTATGAATTGTCATAATCAAATCTAAATTTGTTTCGAATTCAATTTATACAATGAAGCTTTCTGTTTTAAATCACAGGGCTATCATTATGATTATAATCAATGAGAAATGATTGCATGTTTTAAAGCAGAGATCTTTTTCTCTATTATTGTACAAGTTTGCAGTTTCATCATTTCAGAGTGTTTTCAGAAAAGGATCATCTTGTTATCATTCAAGCATTATTATCAGTGTTTGTCTGAATATACTTAATAAAATGTCATTGTTTACATTGGTGAATAGATCGTGTTAGGAAGAAAGCACCGTGTTAAAAATTTGGTGAGATCAAATTTTTACTGATGCATTTATGTCGAATCAAATATTAGTACGTAGTTCATCTTATGTATTTCCTATAACAGACAATTTCAGAAAATTTCTGAGGACATTAAGCCTGAAACAAATTACACTATCGTCGTGAGAAGCAAGATTAGAGTGCAAAAATAATCAATTCAATGACCGATGTTGGTATGACATCACGGCGACGTTCTCGTAGGTTAGCATCACAAGAACCGGAGGATTTTAGTGCATCTTCATCAGCTAATGCCTTCGAAATTGGTAACGATGAACAGAGTATGTATAATACTTTATCAGTTCAAGTAAACTTAATATTAGAGAAATTACGAATCGAAAAAATGATTTCAGCTCCTGTCACAATAAAATCAAATGATGAAAACAAGCGAACAGCAGAGATGAGGGTCGAAACTTCGCAGAAAGTTAGTTACTTTATTTCTTTTACTTTATTTTTTGTAAAAATATATCATTTGTAATATCTCAGTAGAGCATTATTTTACGGTGTGATCTTTTTAAATGTCATCTGACTTCCGAATCATCAAGTGTTTATTTAGATTATCAAATGAACATATTTGCAAAAAAAAATATATTATTCTAAAAGTACACTGTCAAATAGCAGCAACTGGATTTGATTGTATTTCATTATAGCTCTTGAAATATTTATGATAGTTATTCCTAGTGTTATAATTTTCTAGCACATGCAGAATCCAAGTCCTCAAAGTTCACCAGTTGCTTTACGAACGCGATCACGTTGCTCTAGCATGGAGTCGAATGATGCAGGTATTTTACTTCATCTTTCTCTCTGGTTTTATAACCATGCCTTATGCGTAATTTTTGTTACCTTATGCACTTCTATACATATGTATATATATAGTTTCAACTATTTAGTGTATTGTTTCCATAATTTTCACTATGAATTTTTCATTTTCAGGCATTGTTAGGGACACTCAGAAAGCAGTCAATATAATGTTAACTCCAAAAAAAGTAAGGCTTTATTCAGTTTTCTATTTTTTATTGATCAGTTAGCTGAATCTATTTTTCCATTTTCAGAACTTAACGATTGCAGTGAGATCGTGCCGAAAAAGGACTTCGCTGATGCCTCAATTAGAAGAAGTTGTTGAAGAGCAATTAAAATGCGAGGTTGAAGGTAATAATGAAGAGATACCATTGGAAAAGAAAACAGAAACAAAAGTGTCGAGAAAGAAAGGAAAGTTGTCCGAAGATGGAAGAACACATGCTGAAAGATGTGAAGGAACTTCTACAAAGAGTTCTAATGAAAAATGTGCTTTCGTGGAAGATGTATCCGGTGAAAAGAAGTCAACAAAACAGGAAAAAAATGTAGAGAAGTCACGCGATATATCAGAGAGAAGCCCAAAGGAATCATCTGCAAAAGTTGCGAAGAAGTCACTGACGAAGAATCCAAAAAAGTCGCTTATAAGCAATACGGATAGTTTTATGCAAGACATAAAGATTTCCCCAGCAAAAAATTCAGAAAGGTCATTGACATCACCGTCATTGATTTTGAAAAAGGTTCAAGAAAAAAGTCCAGAAGAAATGCTAACAAACAGTTCATCACATGGTACTGATGATTTAGAGCATGAAGTCAAACTTACCAGTGACAAAAATTTAGAAAAAAATATCTTGAACATATGGCCTGAGCTGGATGACCTGTTATCGTTATGGTTGAGGTAATTATTTTTTCTCTTATGTAACTAGAGATTCATAACTACAATCCTACTTTTTATTTTTTTTCCTTTTTAAATTCTAATCATAATTGTAGACGTAATGAGCAGAGTATACTTGTGGATAATGTTGAAAAAGCATATGCATTTGTGAACGAATTAGATACAGCAGTGCCGACGATATCGCAGGAACTAATTACATCCAATAGTGAGATGATTTGGCAACAAATTGCTTATGGAAACAAAAAATTCCACCGATATTTTGCAAAAACAAAGGTTTTTTTTTTACTTCTTCTTTAGATGCACTTTAAAACTTTGATTTTACTTCAGCAGTTTTTTAGAAATTGTTTTTGCAGCATTTTTTGGACATTGAAATACCTGCAGATAAGGAACCTGTAAAGAAAGGAGGTAGTTCACTTGCATCAATTGTTACACCGCGATTTCAAGACGAAAGTTCTGATAACACTGAAGAGAATAACACTGATCTCTTTAACCTTACAGAAGACGAAGTTAAGGTTAGTATGTTTGTTAAGAAAAAAGGATTTAGGAAGAATATCTTGTTACTCTTTTAATCCGATGTAACTGGTTTTAAATGAAGCGTGTTTTTATATAATTGTATTTTCAGAAATTTGATAGGGACTTCGATGGTAGTAAAATTGGTGAAAGTGATGATGATGATGATGATGATGATGACTATAGTAATACATCGAATAGCGAAGATATTGGCGTTTCTAGAGTTTCTGATAGCGCAGTAAAAAAGCGTTGGAAGAGTGAAGTTGATGATAATTTTTTCTCAATGGCTGAGATGGAGGAATATTTGGATAAGCAGGAAAGTCAGGCACAATTGGACGAAAATCTTTTCGAACAGTTTGACAAGGTCTGTTTCTTCCTTCATTGTCGCAACTAAGCTCAGCAGTTTAAAACAAACGCTTCTATTCGAAAAATCGAAGTGTCGATCCGTAATTACTGCAGTAAATATTTGACAAATTTCACTTCCTTGAGAAGTTACAATTAAATCACATACCATTGAACTTTCCAGGATGATGATGATTTGCAAAATACGCAGGTTGATTATCATTATGCTGATTTTTATGAGAGCAAAAATAGTGGAGAAGAAAATGGTTCGAAAATTGCTTCGAAGAAGTTGAACAAGTTGAAAAAGGTTTGCCTCTGCTTCTCGTTTTTAATAGTAGATACAGTTTGTAAGATATAGAATTTTCAGATATATTTCACTCTCAGATCTCTAATTTATGAAAAATATTGTAGATTTCACAATCTGACGGAGTGGACAATCGTACGGGGAAAAGAGTTACATTTGCTGATGAGGTCACTAGTGATATGGATTACGAGAGTAACGATGATGACAGTTGTGATAACGATGATGATAGTCGTGGCGATAGCCCAGGTTGCTTAATTTATTCTCACTTTTGCTTTTTATACGGTTTACTTGATGTGATTAGTTAATTTTATCACTTTTTATGATTTAGAAACAGCTGTCCTCCTTGGTCAAGTGGATGAGGACGAGAATAATGAAACTGAATTTCGACTTCGACAGAAAAAAGTAAAATTAAAGCCTTTTGACACGCCTAGGTTATACTTTATTTGCTTTTATGAAATTTAAATTTGTTGTTTTCAGCTCCAAGAGCGAATATCTGCAATAGAGCAAGCAAATTTAGCTCCTAGAAGTTGGGATTTAAGTGGTGAAGTGACAGCTATAGAAAGGGAAGAAAATACTGTGTTAGAGAAATATCTCGATTTCGATCAGTCGACACCACGCGGTTTGTATTAGCTGTCACTAAACATAATTTTGAACAATTTTGCTTTACCTTTAATCATGAAATTCATTTTCATTTACCAATGTTATTATTAATTATAATTCGGTAATTTTTGCTACGTGAAAAACCACTGTCTTCAGCGCCACTTGTTACGGTTGATACAACTGCCCAGCTAGAAGCGAAGATAATCCAACGAATCAAAGATAAAGTAAAGGATTTTTTTTTTCTGTAAATCTAATGAAAACTTAGGTTAGAATATGGGTCTATTGTGTTCCAATTATAAAGATTTATCCAATTATAAAGATGTAACATCTTGCTAAATAACGATTTTCTAATTTAGCCATCAAGTTCCACAAATTGTACGAGAATTTAAGGCATTTGATGATGTAATAAGGACGGAACGTAAACCAGAAGCAAATGCGGCATATCGAGCACCAATTGCAGAATCGGAAATTGTGAAAAAATCTCTTGCAGAAGTTTACGAAGAACAGTATCAGAAAACCCAATATGGAGTACTGTTTCAATTTTTGAATGATTTTGGTTTAGTATTTGAAATTTAAGCTTTTATTAGCAGTTTGTTTTTCAATATGAAAATTATTGCAATCTTTCGTTACAGCAGGTAGGAGGTGAGGAGAAGCCAAATGAAAAGCACGAAGAAATCAAAAAGCTGATATCATCTTTGTTCCAAAAATTAAATGCTCTAAGCCATTATCGTTACATTCCATCTGAAGTAAGTTTTGTTGTAGAAAGAATGATTTCTTTGTAATACGTTTATAACTTCTTTATTCAGAATTGATTTCCAGGAACAAATTAAATTCCACCTCTTCACATTTACTATTCATTGTTTCCTCTCATTTTTGAATATTAAATTATTTTGCATTCTTTTTCAGGTTCAACCAGAAGTACGCATCTTAAATAACATGCCTTCACTTCAAAAAGAGGAAGTAGGACCTTTAGCATCTACCGATGCTGTGCTTTTAGCTCCGGAGGAGATACACAAACATATCAGTGGTCCAATCAAAGGGGATGATGAGAAAACAAAAACAGATCGATCTCGCTTACATCGCAAAAAAAAGGTGGGTTAATTTTCCTTGCATATGCTTGATTTTTTTAAATTCCTTATAATTCTCCTGTTTGGTCTTCTCCAACTGATGAGTTGCAAATATCCATTCTCTCAGTTGAACTAAGATTAGTATGGAAAGAAAAGGGTTTAAAGATGATAAGTAGTATTAAAGCATTTCCGGAGAATACAAAGAGGAAATTTTGTACAGTTCTGAAAGATTTATTGCAAACACTCAATTAGCTTCTAATTTTTTTCAAGTATGTGAATAATAACTAATAATTACCACAATAGGCCATCTGTCACTCTGGAATGTTTCACGGCTTTTTACTAGCTGTTAGTACTCTAAAATTTCAGAAGTGGCAACACATTAAACAGTTAAGAAAACAAGAAGCAGAGTTTGCGAACAAAATGGAAAATGATATATCTGCTAAAAAACCTAAGTTAGCTTCCCAGTACGACAATAAAAGGGGTAATATGAAGTTAACATCAACTTCGTTTTTCCAGCGTCTGCAAACCAAAGCTGCGGAGGAGGTAAGAATTGTTTTGAAATGTTTAAGTTAAAAACGAAATATTTTTCAAAGCTCGATTAAGCGCTTTGAGCACTCTACTGGTAGTATTTCAGCTAAGCAACATCTCTTATTCATCACTGTTTTGAATTACATATTTTCTTTAACAGTGCATACTCCAGCCATTCGATTAGATATTATAATCATAACAATGCTTATTGATAATTTAAATAGTTTATTCTTTTTAGGTGAAAAGTAAGAAACACAAGATGACAGGAATGGGTACGACAAAGAAGAAATTAAGTACAAATTATAAACTCTGATAGTGGTTGTCGTATATGTTATTTACTTTTATTAATTTGTGAAATCAATAAATTTTTTTCATTGGATATTTTGCTCGTACAGTCAAATTATGTTTGTATTTTTTACTGACTACCGCTTAGCGAAAAGCATTAAAAAAATATTTTTTTCGTGAGAAATACACGTTATGGATGTATTTTTTCCCAGTTTTTATTGTTACCCAACACTGTTGGAGAGTTTATTTACAATCAATTTGTAGTGGTACAACAATTACTAAATATAAATGTGTGACATTATTTCGCACATTTATATTGTAGTCATACTCATACTTTGCTGCTTCCAGTTTTAAATTAATTAACCTCGCCTTAAATTTGTCTTCTTATTTTTTAAACTTCATGAAATAGTAAAAAAGAAAAAAAAAAACCAGTTTCATTTAGCATGATAAGATATATGAAAAGAGGAAGAGAGTAATTTGATTAAAAGTAAAGCTGATAATAGTGGCATAATTGAAATTTTTAGATGCTAAATGTGAAAGTATCTAATGATTGTATAAAATAAAATTTCTCTAATTTATTTGAAATTAAGCAACACTTTTTTTTATTTAGCTTTTTTATTAATTATTATTATTATTAGTCATTCCTATAGTTATAGGTCACATAGACAATTCAAAATTTGGTTAACATTTTCATTATCATTACCAACAGTTAAAAGCCTAAAAGTAAAGTAAAGTGAAGCTGATAACAGTGATAAATAATCTACTAACAAGTTTTTTTTTTCTAGGATTTTCTAGAAAATATACAAACTTTTTTTTACCTTCCATTTAAATGATAATTTATGATTTATCATTACCAACGGAAATGATGTATTTTCCTAATTGCGTTCATCAATTAAAATTACAAATTTTAATTCCATTCATCAGTTATGTATTTAAGTATGTTTCTCTTATTCTTTATGCGATTAATTGCTTTAAAATAAGTGGAATTTGATATTTTTTTAAAAAAAAAATAAGTGGAAATTTTTCTTTTTTTGATTAAAATAAAAAGGTTATATTTAACAATCTAAACAACAACGAAGTAGTGATTACCTTGAATGATAACAAATCGTTGAGAGTAATGAAAAGTATCTTAATAAATACAACGAAAAAAAATAGCAACAATAATATTAGTAATAATAATAATAATAATAATAATAATAATAATAATGATAATAATAATAATAATAATAATAATAATAATGATAATAATAATAATAGTGATAATAATATTAATTAATAATAATAATAACAAAATAATAATAATTAATAATGATAATAGTAATAACAATAATAATAATGATAATAATAATAATAATAATAATTAATTAATAATAATAGTAATATCTTTTGTTATATTTTCATTATTATCCATAGCTATTGCTTTCTTTTGTCAATAATTAAATGTTTTATAACAAAATAAAGCGAAACTTTTGGATCATTTGAATTAACTTTTGTTCATTCATTTATGCTTCACTCTATTTTAATACAAATTATCTCGAAAATATTCAGTTATAATATTTTAAAAACGTTTTGAAAATTGAATGTTTTAGATAACAAATAGCAAAATAACAAGTTCTATGCATTTGTTTTTCTTTTTTCTTTCTTTTTTTTGATTAAAAAAAGAAGGAATGTTTGCTTTTAAAATCTTTTGAATAACATTTTTAACAATGGGAAATTTTTCAACTTTTAAATTCTAAAAATACTTGAAGTGGTTTTTTTTTTTTAATAAATATTGAAAAAAGAAAAACTCTTGAAGTATCAAAATAAGAAAATGCTATTCCTTCATTTTATTTCGAAAAATTTCCAGTTCTATTCTTGCATTTTTTTTTAATTTAATGAAGTTTTTGTAAAATTTTTAATCATTTCTAATGTTCATTTTTTATCATTTAATTTTTAATTTAAATTTAATTAAAGCAAGTTTTGCTTAATTAAAATTAGAATTCTCGAGTAATTCCAATTAGTAGTAATTGATTTTTACTTGAAATCGAATCAGCAATTAAATTTAAATTAAAAATTGCTTACTTATACTATACTTATTGAAGTGAAATTGAAAATTACTTTGCAAACTTTAGGGCTTATTTAATTTGTAAATGCCATCGATGCAGAAAATCATTTATAAACAAATTAACTTCAACGACAAATATAAAAATAGTAGTAGGAAATAATATAAATTGAGTGGCTTGATTTCATTTCCATTCTTTAAAGCACAAAATTCAAGAATCCCTCAAATCTCGTTTACATCAATTTAAGCATCATTAATTACAACTTCACTTCTTATTCATCAATAATTCTTTCTATCATGCTAAGTAAATTTTGCTTAAGTTAGAAATTTTTAAACTTTAGACTAACTAAATTTTAAATCAATTAATATTAATGCATTAATTGTATGAAAAAAAAAGAAATTTTTTTTTTGTTATTTTTTACAAAATATTTCATTTTCACTGTTAATTAAATTATAATTAAGCTTATGAAATATTGTAAAATTTTGCTAATTAAATTATCATTTCAGCATTAATTAGAGAATATTTTGGTGGATGATTGATTAATTTTGAATTTCTGTGGATGATGTAATGCTCAGTTGAAATTTTATTCCACTTTCATTATAAAACTCAAACTTTTTTTTTTATACATTTAACTTTCATTGATTAAATGTAAAATCTTTTATTTCAAGCAGTAATAAATAATTTAGACAGATTCTGATAATGAAATTGATTATTTAGCTACCAGATATCTCATTAGAGAGAGAGAGAGAGAGAGAGGGAGAGAAGGAGGGAGAGAGGTTAAATTAGTCTATACAAATGCCTAATTTAATCATTGTTAGATCGCAATTAATTGGTTAATCTCATCTACAAAATGCGCTTAACTTCTCTTTCCGCCTCTTATAGCTTAACTGTATGCTTTATCTTTCATTTTGTTGAAAATTTTAGAATATGAAAAAAAAAAAAATATTTGTTAAAAATTGATAAGAATGATTGTCTAAACTTAGTGATCATTGATTAATTAAGAATTAAACTTTTTTTAAAAAAAAATTTTTGAGAATTTCGAGACAAAACAATGCGATCATTTTGAGCTTTACTCATTATCAGTTAAAAAAAAAAAAAAGAACCAAAAATTTTATTTCTTTCCAATTTATCGTATTAACAAAATTTTCGATTGCATTCCAGTAGGATCTATCAAGCAACTCAATGGTCAGAGGACAATTGCAAATGGCAGATGGTGACATTTTTAATGAGATCAAGAAATGAACTGATGCCATCAGTTGCGTGACATACGCATACAATACGTCTCATTTTCATTCTACATACATTCATTAATCTATTTTCTTTTTACTAGTTTGAATGAAAGAAAAGTGTTTTCCGGAAAGAAGCAAATCTACCGGATAGATTAAATTCCAATCCAATTTTATCCATATTTGCTATCTAAACTATCATTTATTTATCAGTTAGTCATAGTTACATTACTTTTTTTTTTTTTTTTTTTTTTTTTTTTACTGATCTAATATGATTCGAATTTTCTATCGTAAAAAAAAAATGTTGAATATTCTGAATATTTTGTTGCTAAGAAATTTTATTACAATTTTTAGGATAAAAAAAAATTATTACAATTTTATGATGTTTCAATTTTAATTTTATATTTTTTTTAGGAAATAAATTATTTTAGGAATGAAATTGCTGGACTAAAAATATAAGAAATAATATAATGCGCTGCTAATAATACTTCATGTGATTTTCTCTTTTAGCTTATTATCTCAAAAGCTTTGTAAAAGAGCCTAAATGTAAAGGCTAGGCTCAGGCTCATATTTCTTTTTTTATTGCTTACCTGAATCGATTTTTCTACATCTATTCGTTTCTTTTAAGGCATAAATAATTCATATTGCTAATAGCAAATAAAAGACATTACTCAATTGTTTTTTTTTTTTTTTTATTTGAAAATTTTAATTTAAAGGAAATAAAAATAAAAGACAAAATTCTGTAACATTTATTAATAGCTCGTAACTGTCCACAGGTGTCCTTTTCATGGTCATTCTATTCAATTAACATTTAGTGATCTCTTTTTCAGAGGGAATTTCCCTCACAAACTAATCTTTCTTTCTTTCTCTCTTTCTCTCTTTGTTCTCTCTTTATCGTAATCTTTTGATTTACAAAAGGGCTGAATAATTTAAATAATCCTTAGGATTATTTAAATTATTCAGTTTTTGTAGTACAAAGAAGGATACATCATCTCTTCACAGAATTCTTTTTTATTTGTCACCCCTGTTATCCCAGTTGATCCATCTATTTTACATCTCGAAATGTCACATTTGATCATTCTTTTTTCAATCAATTTTTCGAGCAAACAAAACAATTTAAATTGCCTATATTTGATAATATGCTAAATACATGCATATTCTCGAGATTACAATCTCGTTCTTTGTTTCTTTCTTTCTTCGGATGTAACGCTTAAAGGTCATTTCAAGTGTCCATCAATTTTGCTACTATAAATTTATTATCAGTTGCAATCATTTATCATTTTTATGGAAATGATGCGAAATTTGTTGTGAACTTTCTTCTTCTTCTTACATTTTAACATTCAATCAAATTGGAATGAAATTTTTGAGTTTAATTTGAAATTAAATTTCAAATTTTTTGTAATACGGAAAGTTTAATGGGTAAAGACTGGCTTTCATAGAAAAAAAAAAAGAAAAAAAAAAGGGAAAAAGCCATGATATCACGAGAAAATTGCATTCACATAATCAGAAAATAATTTATGAGAGTAAATGAGGCAAATAGGAAAAGAGAAAGAGAGAGAGAGGGACAGAGAGAGAGAGAGAGAGAGAGGGAGAGAGTTCATTAATATGCTTTATGCAATCTTTGATCATTTCATAAAACCAATAGATTTCATTTAAAGAGAAGAAAAAAATATTTGCTATCATTGTTGTGTTTAAAAATTTAATCATTGCTTTTTTATCAGAACTCAATTACTTAATCTTTTTGTATGTGAGAGAAGAGA